AGGAGAGAGAGAGAGAGAGAAGAGAGAAGAGAGAGAGAGAAGAGAGAGAGAGAGAGAGAGAGAGAGAGAGAGAGATAAGAGAGAGATAGAGAGAGAGAGAGGAGAGGGAGAGAGAGAGAAGAGAGAGAGAGAGAAAGGAAGAGAGAGAGGAAGAGACGAGAGAGAAGAGAGGGAGAGAGAGAAAGGAGAAGAGAGAGAAGAGAGAAAGAAAGGAGAGAGAGAGAGAGAGAGAAGAGAGAGAGAGGAGAGAGAGAGAGAGAGGAGAGAGAAGAGAGAGAGAGAAGAGATAGAGAGAGAGAGAGAGAGAGAGAGGAGAGTAAGAGTGAAGAGAGAGAGAGAGAGGAAGGGAGAGAGGAGAGAGAGAGGAGAGAGGAGAGACGACGAGAGAGAGAGAGATAGAGAGGAGATGAGAGAGAGAGAGAGAGAGAGAAGAGACGAAGAAGAGAGAAGAGAGAGGAGAGAGAGAGAGAGAGGGAGAGAGAGAGAGAGAGAAGAGAAAGAAAGGAGAGATAGAGAGAGAAAGAAAGGAGAGAAAGAGAGAGAAAGAAAGGAGAGATAGAGAGAGAAAGAAAGAAGGAGAGAAGAGAGAGAGAGAGAGAGAGAGAGAGAGAGAGAGAGAGAGAGAGAGAGAGAGAGAGAGAGAGAGAGAGAGATGAGAGAGAGAGAGAGAGAGAGAGAGAGAGAGAGAGAGAGAGAGAGAAAACTATATCATGAAAACCCATGAGGATATGTGAAAATTCTAAACATGGCTTTATTATATAATTCTTTGAAAGTTTGGACATATTAGAGGTTAAAATAACATTTACATAATCATATTGTCTTAGCCAATAACATTAAATTTAGGAAGCATTCACTTTATATCCATTATCTATATCAAATAATAATAACGATTTCCTCTAATCATTTAGACATTTCAAGTACTTCTGGTACATTACTATCACTGCTACTGACACAGTCAATGATATGTTTACAGTAATTTTCACTGAGTGCCGAGTGCCCCTTTAAAAGTGTGAATTTATATACAGTATCTTATATAATACTTGAATATATTTGACATAATAATCTTTACATTACGCAGCATAAAACAAAATCAAATTTCTATTTATTTGTAACAATAACCATGCAGATTCTTACTGAATTGATTTAGCTACTCATAAAACAAGTTATCCTAATTTCACATAAAAATCTGAGTAATGACTAGACATTTTATGTTGTTTATATTACCTCTATCCACAAACTTAGAAAAGGTATGAATGAGAATGAATATGTTCACAATACAAGAGAAGTACATAGAGAAATACATTTCTTTTATTGGGAAGATATTCATTCTCATTCATACCCTTTCTATATTTGTCAACATGAGTACACTTCATACCATATGATAATACCTATTCATATTGTTATAACACTGTATTATTATCTCATTGTGTTCCAAATCAGAATCCTTTGGCTGTCCTTCATTATATTTTCTAATATTCACTTTCCGACTTTAATGAAAAAGATGTTGTACTGCATTTAAAACAAATGTCACTCTTCCGTCATTTTAAGAATCTTCAATTGACTTATGCACTAACTTTGCTGCATATTTTTTTCTGTGTGAACTGAATTTAAGGTTACGAATCATATATGTTTCCTTAAAAAAAGAAAAACTGCCATTGGAATTTGCTGTATAATGACAAAAATTTCTTCATGTTTAGTCTACATTGTTTTTTAAATATAACAAAAAATCATATTAACTCCTTACAAGTTATTGCATAGCAACCAAAACTAACACTCACTTCCATGCAAGAATGACTAGCAATGGAGAATAACAAGTATAGACATTATTAATATTTTAAAAGGAGTTTGCACCTGTAGTGAACTCTGCATCCAAAAATAGTTGCAAAGAAAACCGCAATGGGGAAGATGATATACAAGTGGCTCATTTGTAGAATAAAGCAGCAGATAAAACAATTATGATACAGTATCTAATACCTGCTTTGCTCTAAATTCCAATTAACTGAAGTGAAGAGTGGTCATAATGCAAAAGTATTTGCTTATCATTACCTAGAATAATTTTCATCTGATACATATTCCAAAATTTCAGATACAAATGAAAACTAAATTATTGATACAATGTAGGAACACATACACATTGGGTCTATGTTATATTGAAATAGCTTCAAGTGTTCACTCTCCTTACACTTTATAACTCTGGCTAGAAGAAACTGGACTGGTTAGGACAATGGGGCACTTGTCGCTTTCTAAACAGGCATGAGGCTGGATGGTGGAAGGATAGTGATACATTCAGATCTAATTTGAGAGGAAAATCCACATGTGCTGATCTTTCTTCATCCTCTAAAGAGGACTCACTACAGCCTTGCAATATGCTGTGGGGGCATATACAGGCACTTTGCTCTGCATCCTCAAGATGCAGATGTAAATGTTAATGAGGGTGTAAATAATAGGGAGCCTACTCTAAAATTACTACCTAATTAACAATGAGTGTCAGATTAAGTTG